GAGAGAGAGAGAGAGAGAGAGAGAGAGAGAGAGAGAGAGAGAGAGAGAGAGAGAGAGAGAGAGAGAGAGAGAGGTAATTGCCGGTGAGAAAGGTTACATTCGGAAACAATTGCGTGATCACAATTTGAGTGTGGGCTTATGCAAAGAATTGAAAGAATACTATCTGGCACTTGTGATGTACAATTTTTCCTTTTTTTTGTAAGGCAACCCTCTGAAAAGATTTAAAAGAGAGCTTTCCCCCAACACCACACCCATACTTCCCCCTAACCCCCAAAAGTTTCTCATTGGATTTGGGCTGTACTCAGGAAGCGCAGTATTGCCCCGAACTCAGATTTGAAAAAATATCAGCGGATGGCCCTCTAGAGACTGGTCGGCTCTACTGGTAGGCTGCAAAATGGTCAGCTGTCGGGGTCGGCAGTCGGCGGGTATGCAACCCTGACCTTCTTTAATTTCTGTGTTTTGTGTATTTGATGAGTGGTGCAGCGAGGGCCAATGTCTTGTTTTTCATAAAAGAAAGGGCAGCTGAATGAGTAATTGCGGCCAGGAAGAAAATCGAGCCAAAAGCTTCAAGCAGTTGTCCTCTTCTTTCCCTTTTTTAATTTTTTTTCCTTTTTTTTTTACTTAATGCGAGGAATGGGCCTCGCAGAGCCCTTATCAGACACACAAGTGTTCTGGGCTGTGGCCCCCAGCAAGCCTGCTGCGCCCTCACGGAAGCACGGGCACAGGTAAGTACCAGGCCTGGGGGCCACCTCTGCACACACAAGTACCCTGGCGGGTCACACACACAACCAAGCAATCAATCATGTAGTCAGGCAAACGCATGGAAACTCAGCAATCCTGGACACACACGTACTTAGAAATTTCAGCAGAATATGGGAATCTCAGCAAGTCAGTCAGTCAGTCAGTCCAGGATCAAAACTCAGAAAACAGGAGAGTTCTCAGACTGTGATTTTTTTTTGCAGGTCATTACAGACAGGGAAGGGGAAAAAAACAGAAGTTCCAGTTGAAGGTCACAGGTTCAAATCCTGTAGGATGCTGAATTCTTCGGGAGAGTGGCCGAGTGGTTAAAAGAGATAGACTGTAAATCTGTTGAAGGTTAGATTTCTAATTTTCTACGTAGGTTTGAATCCTGCCTCTCCCACTTCGTGGCCTTCATACATTCATGAATTACGTGTAATGTACTTGTGGGGGCGAAAGTCTAGGATGTATCCATTCTATTATTATCTGATGGTAATTCTCTATGTCTACTCCATGGAAACTGTCTGATGTGCACAATGGAGAAGCGGCAGTTGAAGCAAACGGCCAACGAAGAATAAAGTTTTTTTGGAAGGGGAAATGAAACAAGCTTTCCACCCCAACCACACAATTCATCATCTGGAAGTAGACCTGTAGGAGTGGTCATGGAGATCACAGTCTTCAGCTCACAAATTACACTCCAAAAAATTCTACGAATGTCAAAAACAAAATCATGGGAAAACGGAGGGGAGTGGTGGTATCCAAGGGAGCAATCAATGCCACTGACTCAATCGGGAGGGTGTTGGTTAAACCACCGGTACTTTTTAAGGGCCTGGCCGTTAACAAGCCACGATTTCAGGAAACGTACGGGCCACTACAGGAGCGCCCAAATTCATTCAACTAGAAACGTTTCTACTCTTTTTTTTTCCCGCAGCCGATAGCTGGGCCAAGTACTGGTGGTTTGAGGTAGCCCTGAAAGTACCGGAATTTCAGACAGCCCGGTGGCTGAGAGGAGGTAGGAAAACATTCATGGTTGCAGGGGCAGCGCAGTCGTAAATCCCACTGGTGGGCTGAACCACCAGTTTGTTTCCGCGGTACCTTGTTCAAGGACACGCTGGTTAACGCGCTGGGAAATCGTGGTTTGGGCCTTTTGGAAGGAAAGGCTGGTGCCATGGCTATATATCGCCCCCCTGGCCTGACAGCACAGCGGATCGGAGGAAAGAGGCTTGAACGCGCTGGTGGTTTAAACCGCCAGTACACAGCCCTGGCCTTGTAGGAATTCGTTCATTGCCTACCCCTGAATTGTTTGGGCCCCAGGGCTACCGGGCCACAATGGCTGGCGGTGCCAGCCAAAAAAGAAAAGAAGTGCGCCACTGGCAGTTCGGCAAAGCTTGCCGTGCAGTGCGGCGGCACCAGACCCAAGTGTTTGGAGGTGGTTCCAAGTAAGCGATACCTTTTATAGATATGAAAAAAACAGGACATCCATTAAACTTGGAACAGTAGTCCTTCGGGACATCCATTAAAATTGGAACGATACTGAGAAGATTAGCATGACCCTCACGCAAGGATGACACGCATAAGTCGAGAAATGGTCCCAATTTTTGCTTTAAAAAAAAAAAAAGATGATGGCTAGTAACTCTTTAATCCCATGCAACCGGGACCGCGTGCCGTGTATGACATCTTGAACTCTGCAGACAGATGGGTCGTTGGTATATGTCGCTGAGCTCAGTTTTTCTGTGGAGTTTGCCTTCTGAAAAAAAATGTCAAACTGGCAAATTTCACTGACTCTCAAGTACGTCTTTGGTTTGCGACTTTCCAGCTTCTCGCAGTCAAGGCCTGCCATTCGCTAAACGTCACGCACAGGGACATCAAGCCAGGTAATCCAGTTATCCTTTTGTGTGTTTTTTCATTGGTGTTTTTCATTGGTGTTTTTCATTGGTGTTTTGTCGCACACTGTAAAAGTGCAGACCAGAACAAGAACCGACCTCTCTCACATAGTACAATATAGCGCAGGGGAAGGCTAATATACCAATGATCCGAAAAATCAATGTTGCAATGCAGACCAAACATACATCATCATCATTCCATGGTGTGAAGGGGCCTGGCGCTCACACAGAAGAATGTGCCAGTCCCCAACCATACACAGACGAAGGAGAGGGGGGTTAGATAAAGGAGGGAAGATGGGAATGTCGTCAACACCAGGTCCCAAATAATCCCTCGTCCAGTGTTTCAATCCCAATGTGGAGTCTGGATCCAAATGTCGTCAAGTCCCAAAGTCACCTACGAATGGTTAATCTCTCTCTCTCTCTCTCTCTCTCTCTCTCTCTCTCTCTCTCTCTCTCTCTCTCTCTCTCTCTCTCTCTCTC